TGAAATGATTGCATGAGTAAGTCCTCATAAGTACAGACAATATCAACATTCTTTTACTACTACTTTAGACAATACCAACATCTCTACACTTAACTTGTAAGATACTTGCTTAGAAGAATAATTATTAGATTGTGTATATAAGTCCTGATTCAGAATCATAGGTTGGGTACTTGCTTGAAGAGTAATACAATATTACCAAAACTGAAGTAGTGAGAGAAGTGATGAATATGAGGATGATTTATAATAAAGAATTGGCCTTATCAAATCTGAAAACACCTCTGGCAATGTATATATTATAAGTTATAAGAAGTTATTGCTATAAAGGTTGTAATCTAACCTTGTATACATAAAAGACCAGAATCAGAAGCATAGTAATATCTATATAGAAGTCTATGATGCAAAGAATTAAGATCAATCAACATAAATACAACACCAACTAGGGTTAAGATACCATAAACTGGAAGTTCTAGATTACTAGTATAATATGCCATTGGCTAGTTGAGAAAAATTCTCAAAATATAATCTTAATGAATATCATAGAAAGAAGTACTAAAAAGATATGATCTACTAAGCACAAATCGGTAATACTAATGCTAAGCTCTAACATATAACAAACTTTAGAGATAATATCAAAAATAAGGTATTACCTGAACTGAAGGTGAGCAACAACTGGTATAAATCGATCTATCTATATGGAAATTGTATCCAATTGATGATCTGTTGTATAGTGATACGTAAATTCTATAGCACAGTAAACTCTAAAAATAAGGCCTCATCAGGTATACCAAAGAACTGAGAGTTTATAAGAAGCAACTTTCTATGAAACCAATTAGTGATTATATAATATAAGATATGTGAGAATATAGTAATAATAGAACTTTAATAACTTAGTAATAAAATACAAAAATTTTGGCTATATGTGAATAGGATATAGTAGCTCAGGTAGGTTTAGGTTATAGATAAATTAGTCTAAATCTTGTGTAGTTATAATATTAAATATGTATCATAATTTGAAAAAAATTATATACAAGTATATATATTAATAAAGATATAAGGCACAACCTCACCTTTAAAAAAAAAAATTCAATTAGTTATTTTAAATTTTTAAATTAATTAGTTAAAAAATTAACAGTTAGTTAAATAATTCAAATTACTACAAAAAAGACTATAATTGAATATAAAATTTTATAAAAAAATTTAAGTTTAAATATAAGGTTAAAAAAAAAATTTTTAAAAAATCTATTATAAAATACAAATATTATATAAAATATTTCAGAAGGTTTGTTATATAAAGATTGTACAAATAAGTATTTGCTATAAAAACAAAATATACTAATAATTTTTACTTTTTAAAATCAAAAATCTTATTTAAAAGAGTAATACTAGCATAACAAAACTAGAGTATGATTTAGCCAGAGTGGCCCCAAAAGTGCTAGTAATGCAGTCATAGTATATATACAGTATTGTAATATTGAATTACATATGTACAATTGTTATCTAAAACAAGTAATTTACAATATGCAACTAGAAGAAAACCAATGAGTTGTACTAATTGGTTTTACATTACTAATACTTTGAAAAAACCGCTCTAGCCAACTCCTAGAATAGCAAACAAAGTGATAAATATAATAAAGATCTATAACAAAAGATTGATTTAACTAAAATTAAAACATATTTAATACTATAAAACAGCTAATTATTAGATGGCTATCTAAAAATATATATAAATAAATTGATAAATTCTATATCTAAGAGTACTAATGAACTTCAGTTGTATTTACTATATATAGAATTAATGATAAAAAAAAACATACAAATATTTTATAGAATAAATAAGCTTCACTAATAATTAGTAATTATTAATTTTTAATAGTAGAGTTGTGAAGTTTGTAAAGTTTGCCTATCTATTCTATAGAATATTCAAATATCCCTTAAACCGTCAGTTTTAGCAAGCAAATTTGCCTGCTAAAATTTTTAAGTGATTTATAAAATTTGCTTCTGATTTATTTTTATTAAAATTAAGTTATTTTAAAAAAAAATTTTTTAAATATTAACTATTAATATAGATTATATTTTAATAAATTTAATTTTTTTATTTATATAAAAAATTTTTAAGTTGTCTATAAGTTAAAAAAATTTTAAAATTTTAAAATTTTTTGATTTTGGAAACTTTATTTTTGACTATTGACAAACTTTTTAAAATTCTAAGAATATATACCCTATAATTTTGATACAAATTGTAGATTAAGTTATCATAAACAACTTTTGTTATAAAAGTTTTTATAATTTTATAATTAAATTTCAACTTTGATTAGTAGAGAAAAGTTTTTTTCTCTTTAGAAACATATAAAAATTTGAAAACTTTTAAAAATTTTTGAAAAAATTTTATAGTAAAATTAAAGAATTGCCTATATTTAGACAAATTTTTCTTTTATTTATAAATATATATATAATTAAAATTTTAATAGATATCAATTAACAATAAGTAAAATTTTTATTTTAGCTTAATAATAGAGGTACATATCCTTAATAAAATTTTTAGTAAATTTAAAAAAACTTGTTAAAAAAATTCTAGCAGGCAAATTTGCCCGCTGGATGGTTTAAGGGATACTATAACAAAAAGTACAATAAGAAGTTGGTACTATTAGCTACAATAAGATGACAAATAAAACTTAATACTAAACCAGTAGTAACAAAAACCTAATTTGAAATACAGATTAATAATATCTAAAAAGCAAGTGAAAAAGTTTGTCTAATAATATAATACTAATTCTTTTATATCAAAATTAAGCTAAACAGCAGATATCTGACTTAAAATATATATTATAAGATATACTTAGCTAGAAATAGTTACAGATACTATTATAAAAAGTAATAGTTACAAAAATGCAGAATATATATAACAAGCACACCAAGCTAGGAGCTGTAATACAACAGTAATTATCCAAAATAGAAGAACTAATTTGGAAGTTGTTAATAAAACTAGGAGACATAGAGAAATACGCAGCATAGTAGCCAAATAGGGCTAGTTGAAAAGCAAAATTCGGGTTATACATGAGTGAAACATTTTAACTCTGGTAGGTTTGAAATATAAATAAAATAGTCTAAGCTCCAAATTTAATATAATCTAAAAATGTATACAATTATGTATAACAATATATGTAATATAATATACAACTAATAATAAAATACTTAGAGCAAGTTTCCACCTTAAAAAATAAAATAAATAAAAAACTAATTTGAAACCAATAGAAAGAAATTTATATCTTAATGCAAAACAATCAAAATATGCAACTAATATGAAAATATTTAGAATATTAGATCAGAAAATATAAATGAATTGTGATATAGAAAAAGATAGAGATGTTATAAGACATTTTTATGCAGAAAATAATATCTTTACTTAGTAATTCTTGTATTGATTATTATTGATACGTTAGAATCTATCCGTTCCAGAATTATATATCAAACTCGTTCCTAACTAATTTGGACTTTGATTATTAGAATAAACATTTCGGATCTTTTTTTTTTTACATTGTTCTTTGGATTTATTTGTGTTCGGGATTATGTTGCTTTAGCTTACAAATTATGCCACGTTTGCCGCAGATTATCGTTGTCGTTATGCAGGTTGGTGGCGCAGATTGCCTGAACTACAAATCAGATTGAATGCACCACAAATTGCGTTATGGACACTAAATTACGTATGCATCACTACGTCATAATTAAAGTGGATTAAATCTTAAGCCGACGGAAGAATCCCTAAATAGAATAGCATTATTTCCGCAGTCATAACGTCAAGACTATTATAGATATTCAAACTGCTGGTCGTTTACTGCGTCAATGTCCTGAATTGCCGGAATTTATCATCGGGAGTTTCAAATAGCGACTACGTAATAAATGTTTTCATGGGAATTAATATGGAGTATTTATCGTCTTTGATATGAAATCTTTGGGTCCGTTCAAGTCCCAGGATTTATTAAAAAGTTCCAGAAGTTTCAAGTAGCGACTAATTAATGTTTCATGGGAATTTAGGAACGTATTCTTCTTGAAAAGTAAATTAATATAGCAAAAAATGTTCATCTATTTGGGATGCAAACTTTGTCCTCGGGGTACAAAAAAATTCGGTATAAAATTATCAATAATCCGACTTACGTACGTACGCACATGTGTTAAAACTATAATATATGATATGATATGTAGTAAAATAATAAATAAATATATATTATTAAATAATAAATGTCAGATTCTGATACTGAAATTAAGCAAAATAAAAAACACTTAACCAATAATATATAAGTAATTTCAGCATCTAAGTTTCCGATATAAGCCGGCTTCGAATGGAATATCTAACGTATCTGGTATCACTAATTAAATAAAAAATATCTTTATCGTTAAATATGCTGAGATAAAAAAAAAATCTTTATATAAACATAAAAAATTCCATTAATATGTTCACCAAAAGACTAACTAGCATATAAGTACATACATATGTACAAAGCGAAGTTGCTGTGTTAAATTAACCCAAACAATCGATCAAGAATCGATCTTAAACAAACTAGCCTTATCCAATAACCATAGCGATAGACAAATTATGTCAAAAAAAAAACAATTCATTTGATTTATTAATTATTACTATATATTATTATATTGAAATCCTTAGTAACATATACAATACCAAGCTTTGTAACTGAAACCCCGTTGTTTTAAAGTCAAACCAAAAGTGTTTTTATGCGTACGTATTATTTATTCGTCATTACCCATCAATAATAGTAAAAAAAAGGTAATTATTGAAAATTTGTATAACGGCACTGTTAATCTGTATTTCCGCGTATCCTGTCATGAGACCTTAGGTATTACGACGGATAAACATTCAGCAAATATCAATCATATCTACTATAAATACTGACTGATATGTATACGTAATTTTAAAAAACAAAAAAAACATTAAATCTGTTCTTCTGTTCATCGCAATCGAATATATAGTATCATTCCTGATGGCGATGGCATTGACAGAATCTCATATAAAAACTACATTTCCAACTTTTAAGCAAGAACAATCATTACTTATTAAGTTAATAAACTATGAAATTATTTCTTACAAAACAAACAAACAAAGCATTCTCGACAAGATTTATAACGACTTGATTCAACAAACGACAGAACTTTTAGATGAAAATTTTTATAAATATATTAAAGAAGATAGTGACAGGACAATTACTGATTCTATCGTTCCGGAATGGATTGGTTTACTAGCGTGTATTGAATTCATAAGGGCAAGAATTTTCTTAAAATTAATAAGTGATCCATCAGTTACCTTTGAAAAACTTTTTACTCTTACCTACAGTGATGATAATGAAAAAAGTTTCATTATCTCGATCCCAGGAGATGAAAGTTTATCTTCCGAAAATCATGTTGAACGTAAAGTTAATCAAAATAAAGTCAAGACTTGTATGGAATATGTTATTATTGCAATGAATTATTTGACAAATCTTAGGGAAGGAAAGGATTGTAGTAAAGAAAAGGCTACTTACTATTCGTATGGTGATGTTTTAGATGATATTCACGAATCAACTTCACTATCAGTTAGAGAAATTTGTTTAAAATCCATAATTAATTTGATTAAGACTGAAATAACAGATGTTGAAATTAATGAGATAGGAAAAGAAAGAGATAAAATAAAGACAAATGAAAGATTAAGGATAAAAGAAAAGATGATGATAGAAAAGAACGATATTAGCATTACACGTAAACAACGGGTCGGGGTGATCGGATTGTTTCTCGTTGGGTTGCTGTGGGTTTTACAGTATAATGCAATCTTTAATATCTTAAAAGTAATTGATGATATTTCGAATATTAATTTTTAATTGCTTTAATATCAATAATAGCATGAAAAGATAGTTTAAGGAACTTGTCTTTGCCGATTATTTGGTATCATAATTATTTGAATATATTCACTGTATCATATTGACTATTAACGGGAAGTACAATAGCACATTGTACTGGCCTTTGAAAAATAAAAATACGATAATTGTTTAATAAAGTTTAGGTTAACGAAATTACTCGATTTTCTGAACAAGGATACCGTAAAAGTGCTGTGCAAAGTACCCCAGTAATCACTACCCCTTTGATTTGTACTCTCCTGTATTTGTGCTGAATACGTACGTACGTACGTTTTCAAGATTATTTGTTATGGTATTTTGTAAGATTTCTAGATATAATTTTTTTTTTATAATGAGCAAATACAGGGGTATAAATCATGCAAAATATAAGGCAATTTATGTAGTGAAAAAACCCCCCGACTTACGCGTTGTATAAGATCTAGTCAATTATATCTGATAAGTATAATAGTCGGATTTTTTTCAAGTTAAACCGAAGATATTATTAATAACAGTGGCCTAATATCGGCTTTAGAATTCAAAACCATCCTTAAACATCAAAAGTGACCAACAATCGAGATTTACGTGATATCTTTCATCTCATGCAACAGTCAGGTGTCATAATAAAAAATTAGTAGTACAGATTTTGGTGATAATTTCGATATTTATTTTTTTAGCTTAGGCACTTCATTTATTTGTTAACACAAACAATCTGTACGATATACTTTTATTATGATGCCCTGACTATACTCATATGGTAAATGACTAAAAATGACTGATTCAAATTACTCAAATGGCAAATGAACAGTTATAGATGATTTCATTGCCAAAATGACTTCTTGACTTTTGTTAATTGATAATCTACCGTGTAGTGGTATTTTTGTGCGAGCGATGTCAACCCAAAAAGGGAAATTAGCCAATCGGAAACCGGATCTGCCCGGCGTAGTGATTTGACCCATAGATTTGTGTATGTCTATTATCGGGAAGTTTCAGAATGGTAGACAGTTAACGAACATAAAAGACGAGCAAGGTTGTCGCGAAAGTTTGGAATAAAGATTTTGGAGTTGTCCATCTAATTTTACACAGGTGATATATGGTTTACCCGACGGGTGACCCGTGTGGGAGATTTTTTAGTTGACCCGGGTGACATATGGCCCACCCGTCGGGTAATTCGGGTTGCGATTTTTTAGACGGGTCAAATCACTGGTCCGGCGCGTGCGCAAAATATAACAGACAATAAACCTGCCCTGGAACACTAATTAATAGTATCCATTTGCTGTACAAAATTTAATACATTGTACTTAATATAGTTTTAAAAGTTAATTTCTAAAACATTTTTATTATTAATTTTCAATTAAATTTATATAAAGAAATATTGTACTATTGCTCCTAGTTAGTAAAAAGGGTGCTTTTAGGCATCTCTGGCCAGAGATGCTAGTTTATACATCTCTGGTCTGATAGCCAATTAAAATGCCAATATATCACGTGACGCACGTTTTCGCGTAGCACAACGGCTACACAATACAAAGCAAACCAACAAAAAACACGAAAAAAATAAAAAAAAGTGGAAAATACAAAAAACGGCCATCTAAACCTATGTTGGGGCATTAAGTAAAAATGTCGAGAAGACAATTTTATTGTTTGAAGCGAAGCGGAGAACTCATACTTCTATGAGCTTTGATGATTGAAATTATGATTTTGATGCATCTATAATTAAAAGATCAAAAAAGTAGTTTCAGCATTTTTCATCTGTAACGCTGCATGTCTATATTTGTACATTGTGTAAAAAAAATTATGCACATTTACATGCTTGTATAAGATGACAATAATGAGCTCCAGACTTAAACCGGTTTCCGGTTCCTAGTTTATAATACTCAAACTTTAACACAAACTTTAACTTGATTAAAATTATTTCCCAAACATTGTTTTAATCAGAGATGCATAAACTAAGCATCTCTGGCCAGAGATGCCTATAATTTTCCTAGTAAAAAATATGTCTAATCAATTTGTTGCCAACTATAATTGCAATTAATCAATTTTTAATATTATATAATTATATTTAACAAAATCAACATGTATTAGCCTAATTAGATAAAATATCTTAAAATTAAACTAGTTAATAAATTATTAAAAAGTTGATTATCAATTAAATAATATCTAAATACAATTTATCTAAGTAATATTTTTATTTTTTATTTTTTTTAAAAAAAACTTTGGCTAGGAAAGCCAGTGAAGCCTTTATTAGATCTATCCGTAGATATATACATAATTTTTGAACTATATTACAACCTATTACTAGGCTATGC